GGGCCCCCCGAGGAACGGGCTGATGCCGCCGCTCTTGCTCTGCTTCCAGCTAGGCTGCTTAGCCGACGGGTCCTGGCCGCGGCCGGGCGCGGGGCTGCCCCTGAAGCCCTGGTACGTGCTGAAGGGGGAACAGACAAAGCCCTCCATAATCATAGCCCTAGAAAGGTTAGGCCTGCCCGTGGTCCTGTCCCGCCTTTATCTTATCTGGGGAGCTAATGGTTGCTAATTGATAGGGAAATTGGGATCAGCTGGGGGAGGGAGGGCTGATGGCAAGGCTTGCCATCTGTAATAATGAACCATAGCTGGGGCAACCATGGCCTTCATAGTGAGGGAAAGCCTGCTCGCTTTCAGCTCATTCTGATCATCGTCTTAAAAGAAGAAAAACAGGGTTTGGGAAACTGACAAAGCCCAGATTAACTGGGTGTCCCACGGAGAGCTGAGGAGAGGATGCAGGAAATTGCATCTCTGAGAAGTCTTTACCGGTATTAAAAGGTCTGAGTATCCCCATTGTTCCATTACTCGGGTATTAGCTACCTGGAGCTTTTCTATCAACTGAACTGCTTTAGGAAAAGATAAGACTGTACTTGTGTATAAAAACTGAAGTAAGGGGAAACAGTTATACTGGGAACAGTGGCTTAATACCTGTGTAAGTAAATAAGTGTTAGTAATACAAGCACTTACACATTAGACTTCCATAATTACATCAATTTAGTTCAATTCTAAGGTAGTATAGCTAAAATCATATAATTCAATCATCCAAACTCTGTATGGAGCCTTTAAGGACTGGAGAATCCTCAAATCCCTGGAACTGCTGTGATGTGAAATACTTTCTTTGTATGATTCCTCACCATCTTTATAAATGCATTGCTTTATAAACTCCAAGGGGCCAGCAAGTGAGGGGCTATAGAAGAGCTGGTAGGGATGATGTCTTTATATGTTCACAGTGCATTTGAGAAAGACCATTCGAGTGTCTGAAATAAATCAGTAAGTAACAGCATTTTTATAGGACAGAAACAGGTTAAGACTCAGGAAACACATTCATCATAATTAAAAGGAAAATGTCTCAAGGCTCCACATTGTGCTTGGGCTTTCAAAGCGCTGTAGGTATTAACTCAAAGCAAAAAGAGAGTATCAAGATGGCCAAGTTAAAACTTAATGACTGCACTGTGGCTGCAAAAAGAGTAAATTGTTAGGGTGCATTGGGAAGGGGAATGGAGATTAAATTGGAAACTACACTCTGTCATTCAAAGCAAAGGTTTGGCTTCCTCTAAAATGCTTTGGGAAGAACCAGTTACTGCAACTCCCCACAACACTGCAAGTTTACAAGTTAAAATTGTTGGAAGGAGAAGGGATATGGAAAATTATTGTATGATGAGAACCCGAAGCAAGTGACAGATGAGTAAGCAGATGATGTGATAAAACTGTGTAAAATAAGGACTGGTATAGAGAGGTAGGAAGAAACCCCTTTATGAGACCAGTGTAGATGAACATCCAGCTAAAATAAAGATGGCTAACTCAAAGTTGGTGACAAAAATGTTACAGCCAGCTTGAAGTTATTCCATGGATTCACTCATGAAGCTAAGAGACAAAATGGAAATGGACATGTATGTGGAGGATAACATTCTCTACTGTAACATCAACAACCATGACGATAATTTCACGTGTCAAGGCCTACAAAACCACCTGAAAAGCTAAGGTTTGCACAGGCCATGACACTCCGTGATGGCACTGCCACTTACGGTGAGCCCCCCGGAGCCTTTTCCTGGGAGGTCGGCGTTAGCTGCTGTTGCACAACAGCAGGATGGGTCCTGTCAGCCCTGGATGTGCTATTTCATTTCTCGCGTCTCTAGGAAGCTGAGTGAAGCTGCTGGCTGCCACCCTAGCTCAGGACACGCTCCCTTTGTGTGCTGTGCGGAGCCAGCCCCCGAGGGACGTCGCTCACCGTGGGTCCCCTGAGGGACCACGCCTCCCCCGCGCCGCGTCCTGCCCGTGCCCCGCCGTGCGGGAGAGGCGGGGCCGGCTCGCCGCCTCCTTCCCGTGAGGTGGATGCGGAGGGGGGCGGGAGCGGCGGATGCTCCGGTGCGCAGGCGCGGGGGGGGTGTTGGCGCCAAGCTTCGAACGAGCGGCGGTGGGGTCTCGTATATTCCCCTCTCTCCGCTCCCTGCGTGAGGCGATGCCGGTGCGCACCGCCCCTCGACCGAGCGCCGCCGGCAGGGTAACGGCCCCGCGTGTGGCTCGGCCCTGCCCTGCCCCGCGGTGTCCCCGCTGCTCCACCGGAGTCCCTCCCCTCTCCTCACAGCTCACCGGGGGTTTGCGGTCACCGCGGGTGTGGAAGGTGGTGTCCGGTGACCGGGCTCATCCCCTGAGGCCCCACGGAGACCCGGGGGCGGCTGCACAGGCCGCGCTCCGTGCTTGGGTCATTGCCCGGGAGGAGCTTTCCCTCACCGGGAGCAGCGTGGACAGGTCAAATCGCTTTTTTAAATTGTGCTTCTGAGACAGTGTTTAATTTCTTTGGTTTTCTGTCTCAGCGCAGCCCTTACCCTGTTTTAAATGCCCTGCTTTCCCATGGTTTTGGTTAGGCAGCGCGTGTAACGCGATCATCGCCAGGGAAACTGATTTTACTGTCGAAGCAATAAACGTACTAAACGGTGAAGTCCTACGTCAGTCTTATTTATACCTGTTTTTTAACAAAATTGTGAAACTGGCAATGTCTGCTCCACTTGAAAACAACTTTGAATCAAATTCTTGACACATGTTATATAACGGTTGTAAGAGTATATATGTGATAGTATATATTCCACCCCAGCCTATAGTAGTGAGTCTGGAGTTTTGATTTGTTTTTAAAATGCCTCAAAAGTGTTCTGCCTTTTCCATCTTGGTTTTCTCCTGTGTTTGCTGAGTATTTTTATAATCTCCAGTATAATTCTCTCTGCTCCTCTTGTCTGCTTTTTTTGCACCATGTTAATCATTGTGGTGTTTGAACACTCACATCACAGTCTTAAAGCTAATTAAGTTGGGTAATGACACACCAAGAAATGCAAGAAGGCAGGCTTAGGACTTGCAGTGCCACATTGGAACAGCAGTGTTTGAAAGTGTTTTCTTATTTCTTCTCAGGCTTTTCAACAGCTGTTCCAGTAACGTTATGGATAAGAAAATGGCTTACAAACCTGTGGAAAGACCAACTTTTTTTGAAATATTTAAGGCCCATTGCAGTGAATCAGGTACAGCTTCTCCAAAGTAAATAATTTTTATTAGGATTGCTTTCTGTGCATCAATATATTATACACATTTGCTGTATGTTCAGTAGGAAAGCATCATGCAACTTGTTAGCTGCTGCTCTGGCCCCTAATCTGTATTTGCTAATATCTGTTTTTTGTAGATTTCTTTAAATTTTTATTCGTAGGTTTTTTTCATTACATGTGCTTAGCTAGGTTTTCTACTTACTTTTTTAGCTTCTATGTCCATGTATATCCACATGCAGACCAGGTTTAGTTTTTTGCCAAATGCACCTGTTGTAATTATTAATGAGTTGCTAATGGTTAAAAGGAACCTGTTTAACTTGCCAGTCTGAGCAACATAAGAAAGACACTAAGAGTATACTTACAATTTAAAAAAAACCTGGATGTTTTTGTGCTCTATGGTTAGTTTTGTTAATTGTCTGAGAAATTGGTTAGACATTCTTACATGTTTTGTGGGTATCAGAGTTCAAAGCCATGTAGAAACAAAATAAACAGAAGTATGGCAATGGAAGGAGCAATGTGTTTTTCTGTTAGCATTTAAATGCCTAATGTATTTTAAAATCCTGCACGTAGAATTCTTTTTTCATTTCATATGGTTTTCTGTATGTTTTCCTTCATAGATTTAGGGCCCATCAGCCTCAACTGGTTTGAAGAACTCAGCACAGAAGCACCACCATATGAGCCTAAAGTGTTTGGAGAGCTTGATGCTCCCTCTGGCTGGCTTGATCAAACATCTTTTAAAACTCCAAGGACAAAACCGTCTACATACACTCAGCTGGCATCAACTCCACTGATCTTTAAAGAACAAAATGCAATATTGCCACCTTGTTCTTCTCCTGAAAAAGAACTGGATCAGAAAAGAAACAGAACGAGTGAGTAATTTTTTTTTTAAGTGATACTTAAAGGCTGCTTGTGCCCTTCAGAAGCAAAATACTTTTTTTTTACCTTTTGCTGTTGTAGCTGATGATGTTACGGTAACAGGTAATGCTATTGTAGGAATTGTGTGACTAAAAAGCTTATTTTAGTAGTCTTTTGAAGATCATCTAAAAAATAGAGAATAAATCTTAATGAACTCGACCTTGCGATAAAGTGGTAATATGTACACAAAATTCCCTGTATAAAAGATACTGTTGTGGTCCAAATACTCTAAATACTGTTAATATAAGGAGATATGAGCTTATTAGTGTAAACTTTTGACTGAGAATCAGAGTGAATTTTTTCAACCATCTCATTTTTGTTTTATGCAAAATCTCTGAAAATCTTTTCAAGAGAGAGAACTTACCATGCTGAAATATGATGTGATCTTAGGGCACTCTGTAACCTTTCTTGGAAAAATTTGGAAGTACTAAGCTCTTTGAGTTATTAAAACTGTCATAGAAAGAAGTTATATTTTTCCATTTGGAAAAATAGGAATTTCATGAGGTGCTTCTCATTGCATTATTTCCAAATCCCAAGTACATCATGAAAGTACGTCATGCTGCTCCTTTTTGATGTACTCATCCTCCTTGAACAGAGAGAATTTTTTCTAGGGAGAATGTGTGCAAGAATGTATATCTGTTCTATGGGAGAATGTCTAACCCCATTCCTGAAGCACCTGATTTGTGCATCTCCTGTGTCTGTGCCCTTCTGATAAGCTTTTCTAAACAGGTTACAGACAAACACAAGACTCCCTTTATTACCAGAATTGTTCTTAGATCCTAAAGCAAACTCTCTAAAGGGGCAGGACTGTGCTGCTGTTCAAACATACTTTATAACAGTGCTTCCTTGGAATATCATTACCATCTTTGTTTTTCTGAAGTTTACTGCTGAACTTCTGCTCAGTGTATTCTCAGCTGAGAACATGTTTCTTCTAAATGTAGCTAATTGGATTTCACAGTGTCAAGTCCGTAGGGAATTCTTGGTAGCATTTCATAAGTGGCAAACAAAGGAACCTTATGATTCT